AGTAGGAGGCGCAGTTGGAAGCTTTGTTGGAGCGGCCGGAGAGGGAGGGGGAGGAGGAGGGTTTGATTTATTATGCGGATGAGGAGGGGGGGAGTGGGGATAGTGGGGATGCGGATGGTGAGGAGGAGGGTAATGGGGGTAGTGGGGATGATGGGAGTGTTTAGATGGATGTATCATGTGGACATGGTTGGCGTGGAGTTACGGAGCTTGACTAGATGGGTGACGGTTACAAGGGTTGTTCACCCAGGAGCCACACCGGAGCAACAGCCCCCGTAGCGAGCCTTAGCGAGCGGAGGTGGCTGTGCGTAGGTTTGGCGGATGGGGGTTCTATACAGGTTCAGACAGTTAATTCCTGTGCTCTGATTGGCTGAAATTTCTAGACCCACCTTTCCCGACGGGGCGATTGGCTGACGGCACTTGGTGAGCGGGCCCCGAATCAGACCGCATGCAAAAGCGCCGGTCCGGCGGCACGTGATACAACACTTGACATCGCACGTGATATCGCAAAGCTTGCAATGACGTCGGCTTCATGCCCCGCCAAACAAGCTCCCCACCATCAAAACAACCAATTCGCATTACCATTGGCAATCGCACCAGCCATCCCAGAATCATCGCGCAGAACCCAATTCTTAAGATACGGCAAATCTACACAACGGAAACGATAGCTCGTCAATTGCGCCAGCTTCTGGCAACTTTTCAGCTCATTTCCAGCAGATGGCGGGCGTGGGAGCTGCAGACGCGCCCGGTAGAAGTGGCGATAGTGGCAACCGCGGCAACGGGGCTGGCGACACCATTGCTGGCCCCAGCACCATGATTTGCTTTAGATGCAATACCCGAAGGCCTGTTAGCATGTTCTACGGTAAGAAGGGCGGGTTGGTTGGAAGCTGTACTATTTGCCGTGACGACAAAGCCGCTACGCGCCGTCAAGAAGTTGTTCCTTACTCCCACTTCGTCACGCCACTGAGCTAACTATGAGGCTATTCCCAGCTTGCACGCGTGGACTATCTACGACGAAGCCTCGAAGCTGCGGCTGCTCCATCCTCCAATCCCTCAAGTTCTCAAGCAGTCGTCCCTCCCAAATCTTCGTCGCTTTCCCAGCAGCCATCCGCGACACCCAAGCGGTCCCAAGCAGTAGCTGCAATTACGCCCAGCCAGCCACGAGAAGCTCCTCATCGCCCAGTCACGCCTTTGGCTCTAGAGGAGAATTCGCGTTGAGCTTGGCACGCCGCTTGCAAGTCTACCGTTGCAGCTGTCCGAAAGGAGGGCTACAGCCCATCCCGCAGCTATAGCAGCGACGTCTCCCCACTCTCCTACGCCTGTAGTGGCACCGTCACCGTCACCGCTACGGCGACGAGATCGAGTCTTCAGTCGCATTACCTCCGCAGCAACTACAGCAACTTACTTTCGCCGTGGCCAGCACTCAGGCGACAGTCCCCCAACGGCACAAGCTCGCAAAGAGCAAACTGATATCCAACGGCGGCACCGTGCTGAGCGACGGGGCGGAGCTGAGACTAGCCTCACACCTACCCTAGCTCAGCTACGGGCAAAGCCTTCTTCGTCTTCGTCGTCACCGTCTCTCTCCCAGCTTGATTCATCGCGCCCCGCTCCCACGACACCGGGAGCCGGTGGCCCGCCGCTCGTCACACCGGAGGTGCGGCAGGGTCACTCTAGTGGGAGCTTCTTGCCGTCGGGCCGGTCATCGGTCCACTCGTCTCAATATGACGGTGACGACGTCCCCAACAACTTCTCCTCAAGCCAGCTTCCCTCCAGCCTCATCCCCGCCTCCCAGTTGCCTCCACGCCCTGCGAGAGGACGCCCGCTTTCAGTGCGGCCTATACCTGCTCGCGATCTCACAGCACCCGATCCTCCATTTGAGCCGGGGGTGACGCCGCTGGATACAATTGCGGTAACTTCGGAGGATGCCCGGCTTATCAAATCCTTTCACCAGCAGCTTACGGACGACAAGATGGAGCTTTGCGGCCGGTGTCAGCACCGCTGGTTTGACATGAAGCTACGGGACTTTAATGGTGTTGCTGTCTGCCACACGTGCCAGCGTCGCGACTTCCCCTACCTCCGTGAGCAAGCCGACCAGCCTCCCCTTCCCTATTTCTACTCAGCCGCCAACAATCTTGACTTCGGAGACGTCCCTCCTCAGCTGGCAAGACTAGGTGAGCTCACCCCGGTTGAGGAAATGCTTATCGCGAGCGTCCATGTCCATATTCAGGTCCTGACGGTGCGCGGTGCGCAATACAAGTATCGCGGTCACGTCGTGCATTTCTTGCGGGACGTGGGCAAGGTCTATGGCCAGCTACCATGCCTTGCGCGGGATCTTGACGTTATCATCTTACGGCCTGCCAACACCGCAAACCACCCGCATCTCCAGCGCCAGTTCCGTCGTCAATTTGTTGTGCGCCGCAAGGTCGTCACCGCGTGGCTGCTTTTCTTGCGCGCCCACCACCCCGGCTATCGAGATATTGAGGTGGACCAAGCTGCCTTGCAAGCCCTCCCGGAGCGCGGCGATCTCATGGACCAGCTTCCCATCCATGAAGTTGAGGATGCTGCTGTCAGCCTCGAGGATGCTGTTGAAGATGTTGACTTTGATGACCAGGAGGCGGCTGCTGTACCGAATATGGTCGTCAGCGAGCGAGAACTTGATATGTTGCGCGCTGAGCTTGCTGGTGAGCCTCATGTCCACAATCCCATGGAATTTCAACCCCGGCGGCAATCTCCACCTCCAGATGAAGCACCACCAGCTCAGGACCATATCGTCGTCCCCGAGATTCGCAGCACTCCCCTCAGCGAATTCAATCGCTCCCAAGCTCTTCTCTCTCTTGCCTTCCCCTCACTTTACCCGGAAGGAAAAGCTGAATTTGTGCTCCCGCGGCAGCGCAGTATCGAATATGGCGACTATCTACAGCATGCACTGAAATGGCGCGACGGGCGCTTCGCGCGCCACCCCCGATTTCGCTTCGTCGCCTTCAATACTCGGATGAGGCGTCAGATCAGCGCCAGAAGCGCGTTTTTCGTGAAGCGTCATGAGCAGCTCAACCCCGAGCCAGTCAATATCGACACTTTGAAGGAGGCGCTCCGCAATGAGACCCCTGACGGCAAACGGCTTCTTGACTCCATCGTGCGATGGACGGGCAGTATCCGCGGCACCAAAGCTTACTGGGGTGTCAAGCTTCAGGAGCTGCTCGCCATGGCCTTCGCGCTCAAATGCCCCAGTGCTTTCATTACTTTCAGTGCTGCAGATAACCACTGGCAAAGCCTTCATCAACACATGCCGCGCTTTGAGGAGTGGCTGGCTGCTGAAGAGCTCCAGCGGATGCGCATCTCTGTCGCCAATTTGCGCGATAATCCCCATATCGCAGCCTACCACTTTCACCGCCGCCTGCAACTGTTCACCACGCTCGTCATGAAGCAGAAGTTCAATCTCACTGAACTATGGCAACGGTACGAGTGGCAGGGCCGTGGCAGTCCCCACAGCCATGGCCTATACTGGTTCCTTGAAGCACCGCTCCCTGAGGTGACTTCAGAGGCAGCCCGCCAGCAGTTCGCTGAGTTTTGGGGCATTCACGTCCACGCCGTCAACCCGGAGGCTGGGCGGCAGATGCCGCCGGGCGAAAGCAACCCGCTACGCGCCATTCCCACTGTTGACAGTGAGCTAAGCTTCGCTCAGCTGTCCAAGGTTGTCAACCGCGTCCAGCGTCACCACTGCAACACCTCATACTGCTTACGGAAGAAGAAGACTCCCCGGCAACCCCTGGATGCGTCTCCAGCACCAGCGCCTCAGAGTGAGCTCGCCTGCCGCTTCTATTTCCCACGGCCGGAGCACCAAGAAGCCATCGTCACGAAAGCGCTCAACCCAAACTACTAGATGTACGACGGTGCCCGCAATGACGCTATTCTCAACAGCTTCAACCCGGCCGTCATCATCGCGTGGCTGGCAAACATCGATTTCTCTCCCTGCACGTCTCTCTCTGCTGTCGTCAACTACGTCGCCAAATACGCTGCCAAGGGCGAAGAGGCGACGGTCTCATACAGAGAGATGGCCAGCAAGATTCTCCCACACGTCTCTCATCGCACGCCTATGCTTTCTTTCGTCAGCAAGATGATGAATAAGATAGCCGCGGAGCGAGATTACTCAGCCCAGGAGATCGCTCACCATCTCCTTGAGCTTCAACTCGTCCACTGCAGCCGTCAGATTCTCAAGGTGGACTGCCGAAGCCCTGAGGCGCAACGTCAGTACATCATCCATGACGAGACGGTCCAGGAGACGCTCTCCATTTACACTAAATATCTGGGCCGAGAGGACACCGAGGATTGGGGTGGGATCAGCTACTTCCAATTCCTGACGAAGGTGAACTTCTCCAAGAAGCCATGGCGGCACTGGCAAGCACCAGCAAAAGACCGGGTGCTGCGGTACTTTCCCAAATACAAGCAAGAAACTCAAAGAGACGACTTTTGCCGTATGAAGCTGACGTTGCACCACCCCCACCGTCACCACGACGAGCTCAAGATTGTAGATGGTGTCCCGTTTGCTAGCTACTCTGCCGCCTACCGCTACTGCTTGGAGAACCACAGCCACGAAGACGACTATTACGGCGTCATGGCTGACGGTCACGAAGAGGAGTTTCAGGAGGCGTCAGATGAGGACGAGGAGCCACCAGACGCGGCCAATCCCATCCCCTGGGACGAGTTGGCGCGTGAGCTCCCGCGACGGGGTCCGGAGACGGAGGATATCGAACTCCTGGGCAACCGTCCGCAGGATCTTACAAAAGATTGGGGCAGCCACGTTGGCACCCGCCCATACTGGCTCAGCAACCAGCTTTGGAAGGAGACCAAGCTCGCCCATCCCCTTGGCTTTGACGTCGGTGACTTCCCTGACGGTGCGGAGGACACCTTGAGCCCCCACCAGCGCCTCATCTACGACATGGTGATGACCCACGACCAGCAGACTGTTGATGGTTTGCACCCTCCACCGCTCAGGCTCAATATTGACGGCAGAGGCGGCTCAGGCAAGTCTTACGCTATCAAGCTAATATCCGCTCATCTGTACAAGCGGGCGGTGCAGCAAGCGCGCCCTGATGCTGAGAATATCGTCATTCGGTCAGCACCAACGGGCGTAGCTGCCAACGGGATCCAGGGGACCACGCTTCACTCACTGCTCCGCCTCCCCGTCGGTATCGTCGCCTTCGAGCCACTGAGCCCTCCAGACGTGGCTGCCGCGCAAGCTCGCCTCCAGTCGCTCAAATATCTCGTCATTGACGAGAAATCTATGATCTCGCTGAAGACGATGGGCTTCATCGATAACCGCCTGCGTCAGATCTTCCCCCGCAGCAATGAGCCATTCGGGGGGGTCAGTATTCTGCTGATGGGCGACTTCTATCAGCTCCCCCCCGTCAGGGGCAAGCCACTGTACTCCCCGGCTCAGCTAGTTGAGCCGCTAGAGATTACCGGCCGCAATGCTTACCAGGCGCTGAATCAGACCATTGAACTCACCGTCGCCCAGCGTCAGCGAGGTGCGGATCAGGAGGCTTTTCGGGCCGCCCTAGAAAGGCCTCAGAAACAACCAGCCAACGGTAGAGCACTAGGAGTTGCTTTGTACCCGTGTACGGTCCAACCTGACGGCAGAGGAGGTCGCGCTTTTCGATGAGGCTATTCGCATCTTCCCTACGAATCAGCAAGTCACCAACTACAACCTCGACCACATGGTCGCCCTCCAGCAGCCTTGCCGCCAAGTCGTCGCCAAGCACACAGGGCTGGGAGCCGAGACAGTGCCCGCCTCCGATGCTGGGAATCTCCACTACAAGCTTCCCCTTTGCATTGGTGCGAGGGTGATGTTGACGGAGAATATCTGGACGCCCGCGGGCCTCGTCAACGGAGCATTGGGGACCGTCCGCGATATTGCCTGGGCAGCAGGCGTAGACTGGAGACAAGAAGCCCCCAACATCGTCGCCGTTGAGTTTGACAGCTACGAGGGCCCGCCGATGTGTCCCGCTGGCTTCTCTGTTGAGGGGGCGCCTTCAGGGGGTGAACTACGCCAACGTCGTCCCCATATTTCAATCACTACGCGAATTCCCCAAAGGCCGCATTGTCTGCACCCGCAAGCAGTTTCCTTTGACCATCGCCTACGCCATCACCGTCCACAAGTCGCAGGGGATGACCGTAGAGAAGGCGGTTGTGGATATCTCGGAGCGGGACTTCCAGCCGGGGCTTTCGTATGTGGCTGTTTCGCGGGTCAAGACGCTCCAAGGCGTCATCTTTGACGTCCCCTTTGACTTAAGCGCTTTGAGGCAGAGAAGCCGGGAATCGTTTGAAGCAAGGGAGCAGGATCTACGGCGGCGTGATGCGGAGAGAGTCCCGTTGCCCGCCTGACGTGCGAGTCACCCCCCAACCCATCTCTAAATAGCCTCATCAAATAGTGTTTGCACAGGTCGCCCCAGCGGCCATATTTCAACCTGACACCCCCAACGTCGTCTCAGCGCCATAGCGACAGCACCGGTACTGCCAGTCAATCGCCTACAGCTCCCAGCGACCGCCCGGAACACTTGCTCCGTGTTCTGCCATCTCTCACCGCATAAAAGCAAACACTTTTCGGAAACTCGTCGGTTTTGAGCTTTCTGAGCTCAGCGGGCTTCATGGGAGATGGCGGCATTCGGTGTATCACCCGAGTTAAATTTCTTAGTTCCGACGGCAAAACGCCGGCTGAAATACTGCCAGCTGCCTGTGCCTCTTTGTCCCACTGCAATTGTGCATCGCGCCACCTGGCGACAGCTGCCACCTCTCACCTCCCAGTGAATTCGGCCATCGCTCCCACCCAACTCAGCCATTGCCACCACTCCCAGCCATCGCTATTCAAAACACCAAGAAAGCGTTACCATCACCATTGGTGCGAAAAGACCTTAGTTACCGAGCGAAGAACCAGTCAATTAAGCCCCCAAGATCGCGCCGTGGCGTAGCCGCGGTAATAGCGATCTGGGGCGAGATTGACGGTTCGAAGCCCGTCCGCCGTGGCTCCTGGGTGATTTCTATGCTCGTGTGCTTGCTCCACGCGCATCGGGCTATTTTATACTTACCTGCAATTGCTCCTAGAAGGAATGTAGAAGTAATGTATAAACACGAAGTAGCTCGGTAATAATCCCTCCGCGCGCAAAAGAAAGTCCTAGGAAGACAACCCGGCCATAGTGCTCGATACACAGCTCGACATTATTTCGTACTGGGAGGATTACACCCGCCCCCTGGAGACCCGGAGGAATTGGAAGAGTGTTGATCAAGAGGAACAGCCGAATTGTCGATCTTGGAGGTAGATTGCCTGGAGGATGAGGCGTATAAAGGTACTAGGTACGCTCTGAGGTTAACTCGGATGTCTGAGAACTACTTTATTTATTAATAATTTTGCCAGAACCACCGTGATGGAGCGTATGTATGTACATGTTAAAGGCCAGAATCTACATAACATCCACTGATTCCATTTTTCACCAAAACATAGCAATGTTCCTCCTGGCCCCGGAGCTGGCCGTGCTGCTGGTGGCGATGCCGGTCCCGGCGACGGTGGGAGCGCTGGAACGGGTGATAGACATGGATGAAACCCCCTGGTTTTCCAGCGCCTCGAAGATGTTGAGGACCCCTTTGCCACCACAAAACGTGGTCTTGTCGCCCGTGCACGGGATGTTGCAGTCGGACTGGTTCCGCGCCCATTCGCTGCCTACGTAGGTCCCGCACCAGCACTGGTTGCCCTCCTGCACTCCGGCAAAAAAGTACGCCGCAAGGTAGCAGCTGTCCTTACATTGCCCGATGGTCAAGGATACGTCGCCGTCGGTTCCGCTCATGTTCTGATCGAGGAGCGGTAACGTGGGGTCCTCCACGTAGCAGCCTCTGTCTTCCCAGGCGGTAGGAGAGGGGCCGAGAGTGCTGGTGGTGGTGGTGGGTATAATGGCCACTTTTGCTGTTGACGTTGTTGGCAGCGGTGGCGGGTCGGTCTCCAGCCGGTGCAGGGTGACAATGCAGTATGACTGCCAGTCATGCCAGGGCGTGCAGTCGAGACCGACCGACGGGTTCCACTCGTGGAACTGCTCCGGGGTGATACTAAAAAGATCACGGACTTCTTTGCAAGATCTGCTTGAGTCGGTGTTGTCGTACCAATCGACGCAGTCTTTGGCGGTCGCCGGGTCCCACTGCAGGCGCGGGTGCTCGTCGGCAGCGACGTGCCGGGCGGCGAGCGATACAATCGCGAAAGAGATGGACGTCCTCATGGCTGCAAACAAACGCCGCGATGGATGGGTACCAAATTCAACTTCTCGACGAGGATTGAGATGGTGGGTGACTCTAGAAAGGGGCGTGACAGCAGGCGGGAGGCTAGGTCGCAGTCTTTCAGACCAGCGGCCCGGGAGATTTCATTATTTCCCGGGAAGTATTTCGAAGGATCAATAAAAATTCAACATTGGAATTGCGATTGGGGTGGGAGACTCGGAAAGATAAAGAAAAGGGAGGCGCGTTTTTCGCCATGCCCCATCATCACCAACAGCAAACGAGGTACCATCGCGGGACAGTGTGGGAGCTTGGCGCAAGTTCACTGAGTGTTGGCTGCAGATGAGGCTTCCATCTCGATTGGCAAAGTTTTTGGGGCGACGGTTGTCGCCCCACTACAGTCTGCGACCTTATGGGATTACCTCCCCGACTCACCAATATATTATAAGGCAGCGAGGGCAGGGAGCGAATGTTAGCGAGGTCTTGCAAATCGGGAAGGTCAACCCCGGGTCGTTGGCCGCCCTCCCCGCCGTGCCTGCGCCGGCTTGAGTTAGCGCAAATAAAAGATCCAACTCAGGGACTGTATATGAGTCGACGAGCAAAGCTTACCTGAATAGTCATTTCGCGACCGCACCATACAAAATGCACGGGTGGTTTTCCTTTGCCCTGGCACCTTCCAGTGTCAGGTTCGGTTCGGTTTACTCAGTGGATTCCCTCGGTGCCTAATTCGGACAGCACTCCGCCAACAGGAGCAACCAACATCACACATGGACACATTTCACTTGTTTCCGCTTTTTCCCTTTGAGCTTCGCGCTCTCATCTGGCGGTCCACCGTCCAGCCCCGTACCGTCGAGGTCCGTGTGGATGATCGCGGCTCAGGTCTGGAACGCCGCCTGCACCTCGTCTCGCCAACACCAGTGCCGGCAACAATCCAGGCCTGCCGCGAAGCCCGGAATCTCGGACTTTACGAGCGGGCCTTTTCCGAAATTGATGCCGACGGCCGCTATGTCTGGGTCAACTGGGACATAGACATCATCTCCATCGGGACAAGCTATTTTTACCACTTCCACCCGTGTGCGCTGCTCATCAAGCGCCTGCAGTTTGAGCGCGATAACACGGAAGATTCCTTTTACCACTGGGAAATCAACGATTTGGATGTTTTTTGTCAATGTCAAGGAAATATATATCTTCTGTGTCGAGGATAGTATATTAATGGGGTGGCATGACGCCAGACTGGAACATTGGAGTCACTGGCACTGCGGCGGAGAGAATTTGTACCTGATCGATATGGAAAACGACGGTCGGGTTATGAAAGCCGCCGAACTGGACGCCAGGATGGAGCTGCAATACGCGAAGTGGTGGGCAGAGGATGGGCTTGCCTATCCTAGCGGCGAGCCTCTGAACTCGGAATCAAGCACGCAAGGTACCGAATCGACTACATGTACATAAAGTAGTATGGCGAAATGCAAGAACGGAGAAACCAACAACACAATCTCTTGGGTCTTAGACAAACTGCCCAGTCACCAACCCTGGTTATATACACCAACCCGTCCAAAACTCACGGCACAGCCTCTATCACCGACACGTTGTCTTCGGCTCTTGCACTCTCTCGTATGACTTGACCCCCTGGTCCGGCTCACTGGAGTTCTGTCCTAATCTCAAGGTAGAGGTAAACAGGAGAACCATGTCTATACCTTCCATTATATACTCTGAAATACCATGTCGAAGACAGAAAACCCCCTTTTCGGTCCGAGCTCGTGACGGCCGTTCCTTGTGATATTATGCTGCCCAGTTTAAACCCATTTCAGCCATCGAACTATCGACTTCGTTCCTTGGTTTTGCTAGTAGCTGATGTTGTAGCGGCTCGAGGCAGTTTGGGCCTGATGGTACTACTCGGCTTGTGAGAAACGCCGGATTCTTTCGCCCCTTCGTGCTCCGAGATCTCCAACGCCCTGTTGAGCTGCTTGTTGGTGGCGGCACGGCAGAGGCAGACATTGGTCTCGCTCTCAGTTCCATCGTGATTCTTCCGGAACACCCAGATCAATAACCCCTTCACCCAGTCATTGGCGAATTCCTTGTCGCTGAAAGTCAAGTAGATCTCGGAGCCCCAGACGTTGGCACTGATGATTCTCGACGGAAGCCGCAAGGAACAAACTTTGCCGTTTTGCTCGCCTTCTAAGGAGTTGGACGTGTAAACCGACCGCTGCTGGATCTTCTTCAGGTATTCCACCGCTTGTGTCTCTGTGCGGAACTCGACATGCATCCTCCTTGGCTCGAAAGAAATATAAAATCCCAAAATTGCGGCGTCTGCGAAGATGTTCGACATGGCGTATTTGGGTCAAGATATAGGAATAAAAAAGCCTACATGTAGGTATCAAGTGTTATTCCATGTGCTCTAAACATAAAATGTGCCGGGGGGGGTGGGGGGGGCTGGATATTTGGTATCTGGTATCGGGCCTCCAATATGGTCAAGAGGGAGGGCACAGCCTTCATAGAACGGGTCCAGCTCCGACCCGTTGGGGCTGTACAACTGTATTGTCACCTTGTCACAGATTAAGTATGCAAAGCGGGCGCTAAACATTTGCACGCGGAGTATTCTTATAGGTCCCTTCTCGGGACCCCGTTCGGCTGCGGGGGCTGCAACCAAGCGCTGAAGAGATCCATAACCGCAGCTGAGAATCTCACGGTCTCACCATTGTTCATGTCATCGTCCAAGTAGGCCTCAACCACTGTTCCTCGGATTTGGAGAGCTCTCTGGCGAATGAAATCCCAGGTCAGAGGCGAGTGCAAACCTCCCAAATTCTCAAGACTGGATGATCCAAACCTCCTATTAGGATGAATATTGAAAAGACCGGTGGCTCAGCAAATGCCACAAGGATCCCGAGTCCCTCATTATCAGCTGAACATAATCCAGTACGATCTACGAGACGGTCGGTGATCGGGGCGGAGATGAGCGATACAAAAGAAACCAACCAAAGTCACGCACACGGGTTACTATCACCGCCAGAAGAGAGAGAGAAACCGTGGACTCTCGACTCTGGATCTGATGCCGGGTCATCGAGGGGCGAGCGAGTAGGGCGGACATCTATTGCGTTTTCCGAGAATGAAACCGGACAGCAACATGGCCCGATAATGGCCCATTTACAGCTGCCTAGGCCATCGGGGCATACGGGAAGTGAGGATCCATGGCTTCTACCTCCCGAGAGTGAAAGGGGCGGCACACGGCCCTCTAGCTTTCGCGGAGTTAACCTGGACGACACCAAAACGTTCAACACCTTCGTCATCTCACACCACAAGGACAACTTGATCGAGAAAGTGGAGGAAACAACACCCCTGTTAGGCGGGCCCGGCCTAATAAGCCGGTTCAAGCGGTTGAAGGAAACCCCATCCACCACGGAAAGCGATGCCTGGACGCGGCAAGAAGCCGGGGGGTCAAGCGACGGACCCCATCAGAGCTACCGCATCAGCTTTGCCGAGCTGCAGCGGATGCACCTCCGCAAGCTGCAGTGCAAGCTGGTGAAGCACGTCGCGGATATGCGGTTCCGCAACAAAGAGCCGGACGACTGGGAGGCGGATTTGCAAGCATACAGTAAGTAGGATAATGTATCATTCCTCCCCCGCTCCCTATCCTTTTACTCTCCCCCCAAAGCACCCCCATCCCCCATCATCAAACAACCAACCCCTAACTCCCCCCCCCCTTTCTCCAGCCAAGGCCCTCCAAGACTACGACTACATGTCCCAACACAGCCTCCGCCTCCGCGACGACTTCCTCGTCACGGGCGAGCGCTTCATCGACAGCTACATCCTGCACAGCCTCCTCGACGACGACGCCACCCACGACACCAAACTGCACAACAGGCCACCCATCCCCGTCCCGGGCCCCTGGGAGAGCGCGAGCGTGCCAATCGGCGGCACGCGGACCGAGACGCGCGCCAAGTCCGAGCTGGCGCGGCTGCGCGACCGCGTGGTCATGGCGTTGTTGGGGGGCGTGTTTTTGGTCGGGCCCATGTGGTTGATGATGTTGCGGAGGACGCTGTATATGTGTCTGGGGGCGACGACCGTGTGTGTGGTGTTGTTTGGGCTGGTCATGGCGTGGTTGTTGGAACGGCCGATGGAGGTGCTGTCGGGGACGGCGGCGTACGCGGCGGTGTTGGTGGTTTTTGTGGGGTTGAATAATGCCGAGGGGGCAGGCGCGGCTACGGGGGGGTAGGGGAGGGGAATGAAGGAGGAATGGAGGGGGAGGGGGGGGATGAATGGAATTAGAGTTATGTCTTGTGTATTACTGTGGTATCAAATAGGTATCTTCGCCTTTCAAGTCCCTCAGAAGCGTCCGTCATCGATGCCCCGCCGGTAGTTCTAAGGGAAGGTCCACGGACATTTCCATCGCGTGTCCACGGGGGCGCTGCCTGGCCTCCTGCAATCCCAGCTCGTAAGGACCGCTCGGCGCCTCCGGACTCCACCCTCCTGACGGTGGCGGTACATGATGATGTGCTTGATACGCTTCGTCGTGGTAAGGGTCTTGGTAAACTTGGGGGTCGCCGAACCCCAGCTTCTGTTCTCCCGGCGGGTTGGTAGCTGCTGGGCGCTATCACACTCGTGGCGTTGCCGTAGCTGCGGGCGTAGTCGTGATCGTTGTGGTCGCCGTAGCTGGTAGCGTTGCCGTTGCCGTTGCCCTGGGTGCCATTGGCACCGTTACCGCTGTTAGCCCACCGCTTCCGAGCCAGCAGCCACCCGCCCAACCCAGCGAGAATCACAACCACGGCCCCTCCGACCGCACCACCGACGATGGCACCGATGTTGGTAGATCCGGAGGACGTGTCGTCGTTTGGAGCGGGTGTCTCGAACTCGCTCCCGCTGTCGCTTTGCCCGGGTGTGGTTGACGTCGAACTGTCCTGGGATGTGGAGTCGGGCTCCGAGGTTGTGGACGATGACGGGTCAGAGGTTATGGATGAGGACTCGACGGCGGTGGAGGTGGATGAGGATGACGTCGAGCTGGGTGCGACGCCGATGGTCGTGATGGCGGACGGGGTTCCTAAAGACGGTCAAACTCCGAGCCTCAAGGCAAGGCCCTCTCTCGCACATACCGGGAAAGAATAACAACTTCCTGTTCTCTTCGCAACTCGCCTCCTCGGCCGAGCGGGAGTTGATGCAAAAGTACAGATCCTGAGACGTGTTCTCGCATTTGGCGACGCCGTTGCCGCCATCCAAAAAGTCAACATCCTCCTCGATGCAGAACAGCGGGACAGCTGGAGCTCCGCCACGTCTTGTCGGTACAAGCACCTCGCACGAACTCGCTGGCGCCGGCCTGCACCAGCTCCTCGCCCGTGGCCTGGCACATGCCGGTTGCTGAGGGCACGCGTAGCCCTTGGGCCGC